AGGTAACTCCAGTAAACCACATGGTATTTAATTTACCTTCAGTGCTTTAAAAAAAAAAAAGAATGATCAGTCATGGGAGAAGTCAGATCTGTGGTTCCTGAGATACAGTCACAGCCCAAAACCACTAAACAGTTTCTCCTCGCTTAAAATGGACTTCTGCATATGGCAAGGTGCCATTCAATCCCCCTGCATTATTAAAGTGTTAAAAAAAAATACACTTTGAACTCTTTTCCAGCCAATTTTTGTGATCCTTTTAAACATTGCCTATTAGAGCACAATTGAACTTTCTCTATATCTGTCCATACCAGGGTAGAATACAGATTTGATTCACTTCAGGGGAAAAAAAGATGGACTAAAGAAATATAGATTAATACTTTCTGAATAAATATTCAAATATCCTTAGACGCACATTTACACCAAATGCATTACAGTTGCTGCAGTTCTGTTGAGTTGGCGTGGCAGGATGGGTTGATGCAGGGAGAGCAGCCTACCTCAGCTTCAGCAAGGCTTTTGACAGTGTCTCCCATAACATCCTCGTAGGTAACCTCAGGAAATGTGGCTTGAATGGACAGAGGAGGTGGATCAAGAACTGGCTGAATGGCAGAGCTCAGAAGGTCATGACAGTGGAATAGAATCCAGTTGGAGGCCTGTAGTCAGTGGTGTTTCCCAGGGATCACTACTGGGTCTGGTCTTACTCAGCTTTTTCGTCAAAAGCCTGGATGAAGTAATAGAATGTACCCTAAATAAGGCTGCTGATGATACAAAACTGGGGGGAGCAGCTGGTACACCTGAAAGCTGTGTTGTCTCAGTAGGACCTTGGTAGGCTGGAGAACTGGGCGTAGAGAAACCTAATGCGGTTCAACAAGGGCAAATGTAGTGTCCTGAACCTGGGGAGGAATAACCCCAAATATTACAGGTTGTGGGGGCAAGTCTATTAAAGGACAGCTCTGCAGCTCAGCTTCTACAGAGAGGGACCCAGGAGTCTTGGTGGGTGACAAGTTGACCATGAGCCAGCAGTGTGCCCTTGTGGTCAAGGGGCAAATGGTATACTGGGGTACATTGGGAAGAGTGGAGCAGCAGGCTGAGGGAGGTGATCCTCTCCCCTCTAGTCGGCCTTAGTGAGAACTCATCTGGAGTGCTGTGTCCAGTTCTGTGCTTCTTAGTACAAGAAAGATAGGGAGGTACTGGAGAGGGTCCAGCAGAGGTCACAGAGATGATGAGCGATCTGGAACATCTCTCTTATGAGGAGAGACTGTGAAAGCTGGACTTGTTTAGTCTAGAGAAGACTGAGAGGGGATCTCATTAATGCATATAATTATCTCAAGGATGGGTGCCAAGAGGATGGTGCCAGACTCTTTTCAGTGGTGCACAGAAACAGGAGGAGGAGCAATGGACACAAACTAAAACACAAGAAATTTCATCTCAACATGAGGAAAAAATTATTTACATTGAGGGAAGCAGAACACCGGAACAGGCTTCCAGGGAAGTTGTGGCATCTCCTTCTCTGGAGACATTCAAACCCCACCTGGATGAGTTCCTCTGTCACCTACTCTAGGTGGCCCTGCCTTGGCAAGCCAGCTGGACTGGATGATCTTCAGAGGTCCCTTCAACCCCTAACAATTCTATGATTCTGTGAGTTTCTTAGCCAGTGATTGCAATATTGACTGTAGCTCTTCCTTTGACACATTACTCATGATCTCCAAACATTTTAAAACAAATTATGCATGTTTCAGTGGGCTATTTTGTTTCATCCCACTCTATTGGGAAAACTGAGATATCAAGTCTGAGCCAGCTGAAACTTTGAGTGTCAGTGAGAACGTTATACTTGCATTTCATTAGCCATATAAAGATTTTGTGTCTTATAATTTGCAGAGGGCAATGCATCTCTTCTCCATCAGCCTGGCTCTGCAAAGCACTGTCCTTCTAACTCTACGCAGGTGCAAAGGTATGAATGCTGGTTCCTTACAGGATCGTATCTGTTTGTGTCATAATGGCATAAATTAAGGCCTGTTGTCCACACATGAATCTTCTCTATGCTGACAGATGCCTTTTATTAGCATAGGCTATCCAGCCCCGATTTCTATTCTGAAGAACCGCATCACCCAATTAAACTGATGACCTTCACATGACTGGTGAATGTTCATATATAACCACAAAAATAGCAAACAATGAACCAGCAGGTAGAACCAATAAACTAAGAGTTCCCTTGTCTCTTTCCAAGCAGAATCCAAGTAGTCCCAGTGATTGTAATGAGATTACATTCTGCAAACAGAAATAATGGCAGATTGTTTCATAATGGTAAAAGTCACAAACAGCAACAGAGGAGTATTTATTTCTGATTGATGTAATTTAACTGAAACACTTAGAACTTACATTACAAGAAAAGAAAACCAAAAAGACAAACAACTTTTTTCAATAATATTTCAAATCAATTCCTGCCACACAAATTTATAGCTTGCTAACTTCAATTGCTTAAGCCACTTGCAGGCCAAAAGTGAAAATTTAGGTCAAACATTACTGGTTTATTTTCACTGAGTTATAGGACAACTATTTAGTCATTACACATTGCCAGGAATATTGTCCAAATCAGATCTTGAAGAAGTTCAACATGTTCTTTTGTGTGCAGCTTCAAAAGTAAGGAAAAATTACAGGGATAAAAATGGCAGAAAAAGGCTTGAGCACAGACAAAACAGTGAAAAAAAATATATACTTCAATTTCTAGAAATGCAAAGCAGGGGAAACTGAGCTTTTCAAGACTATTGTCAGGGAGCAAGATTACTAACATTTATCAGCAGCTAAATGCTCTGAAGTGTCACTCCCTGCTGCCTAACATTTTGTCGTGGGTGCTGAGCAGACTAATCCAAAAGCCCATACAACATCCATTCGCATGTCAAGTGGAACATTTTGAGTCAAAATATGTCTTACCTAGATGGATAGTTAAAACAACTGATAAAATACATTGTGTAGTATCATAAGCTCACTGAAAGAAACCTGTTTTTCACGTTGGAAAAGCGGGTCATGGATGCAAGTACAAATCAATAATAGGTGAATGGATTCATGAGAAGTATCAACTTTTTATAATTCTTTTTTCAGGTGCTAGAAAAGGTGCTAGGAAAAAAAATTATTTAATTTTGCACTTGACAGCACCTTGTCAGGTTAGCTTAATTATTTATTATTTCTGATTAGGTGCTCTCTTTCCTGTCTTTATGCAGTGAGTCTCTGAATACAGAATCATACAGGGTGGAAAAAGCCTCCAGAGTTCTTAAGTCAAACCTCCTTTGTGAAGCAGGCCCAGCTGGAGCAGGTTGCTCGGGATCCTGCCCAGATATGTTCTTAATGTTTGTTGTTTTGATGCAGCAAAATGTGAAAGAAAACACTTTAAAATAGGTCCAGGTTATAAAACCAGAGAATTGGCAGCAAACCTGAGTGGCGCATCCAATACCTGTATCAGCTGGAACTTTACAAAATAAGTATGCATATGTCTAGACTTCCAGCTGTCCTTGGCCATTTTGCCTGAACAAACTGTAAAAAATTCTATTCTCGGGAGAGATTTCCTAGAACAAGAAGTTACATTATTTTTTTTTCAGTGTGGAGCAAAACACTCATTTCTCTTTTCCAGCCAAGTAAATTTCTTGCAAGAATATTGTTTTTTTTTCATGTTTTATAAGAGTACAGAAAACCAGATGTTATAGTTGAATGTAATTGTGTTTAGTCCTAGAACAATAGCTTGAAAAATGTAACTGCCATTCATAACGATTGTGAGCCCCACTTCTGGTAAGAGGTATAGCACAAATATTGTTAAAGTCTCAGCTAGGAATTCTCTAGTTTAAAATTCCTGTTGGAGTACAGCCAGGCTTGTCACTTCCCCCTCTCCGCCCCCCCCCCCCCCCCCCCAAATTGCTTCTTTAGGCCGAGTGTACTTAAACAGACATTATCTTTTCAGATGTCCTGGTGATATTGAAATTAATCCCAGTGACAAATTCCCTTCAGTTCAACACAGGCAAGATTTCAGCATATATGTTTATAAAACATTTCTTCACAGTACCCTCAAAAAATTCCAACCTTTTCCACCTGCCTCTTGAGCCTACCATAATTTATTACTGTACAACTAACCCTTCATGACACACCTTATAAACCTTCACAGCCACATTCAAAAGCCTTTCAAGATTATTAAAACTTTTTGTTAGTTTCCTAGGAAAACAAGGTTTATACAGCCATGCTGCCTGTTCCTCTGTGTGCTCATCCCATTGTCTTTGAACACATTTTTCAATTTCAGCCAAATCTGATGGAAACTACAGGTCTCACAGGCATTGCATCCACTCGAGGTAATACCCTTGAAGTACAAACACACAGTCCAGTGCTGCTTCCCCCTGGGGCTTTAAACTTAATGGTTCTCTTCATGTGGCTTGACAACCTTGTACTTGGCCTGAAAAAAAGCATGGTGTGCTCTGTGCCTTACAAGGGCAGTTAAATGGCGTTTGACAGGGTGGCACTCTGGGCGTCGTACCTGGGCACAGGTGATTTGGGGAAGACAGCTGCTGTAGGTTCCACGGACTCTGTTACCGACAGGGTGGCAGCTTGCTATGACAAGAAAAGAATCGTGATGACAGGTGTTTTGGGGCTGTCTGTGCGCTCCCACACGGGAACAAAACGTCCCTGTGGACCTTTCCAGCTTTGAAGCTCCTGCAGAGCCGTGCAGGAAGTGCAGCCAGGAGCTGGCCAGGGGCAACCAGGGACAGGACGAGAGGACAGAGCCTCAAGCTGCGCCAGGGGAGGTTTCAGTTGGACATCAGGAGGAATTTCTCCACAGAAAGGATGACTAGGCTTTGGAATGGGCTGCCCAGGTAGGTGGTGGAGTGGCTGGACGTGGCACTTAGTGCCATGATCTAGTTGACAAGGTGGTGCTCGGTCACAGGTTGGACTCGGTGACCCCAGAGGTCTTTTCCAATCTAACTGATTCTGTGATTCCGTGGGTTCACGCTGCCCTCTCTGCGAGAGGAGCGGGGCGGAGGCGCTTGGCCCCGCCGGGCCGCCGTCGGGGGCGGGCCCGCGCCGCAGTCATGGCGGCGCCCGTGGTGCCGGAGAGCGACAGGTACCGGCGCTGCGGCTCCCCCGGGCTGCGCTGTCCCGGGCCGGGCGGGACAGGGCGGGGTAGGGCAGGGCGGGGCGGCTCCCGCCGCGGTGCTGGGACGCGGCAGGGACAGGGCCCCTCTGACCGCCCCCTGTCCTTCCGCGCAGCATCCGCAGGGCCGTGTCGCTGCTCAACGCCGTGGACTCCGGCCGATTCCCGCGGCTGCTCTCCCGCCTTCTCCAGAAGCTGCACCTGAAGGTTGGCGGGGCGCGGAGGGCCTGCGGGGCCGTGTCCCGCCGGGAGGGGCGGGAGCGGGGCCGGGCCCGGCGGCGCTGGGGCCGCGCGGCTGCGGGCGGAGCCTGATATTTCCTCGATTAGAGGATTTTAGGTCTTGATTTCATTCATCACTAATTTTTCAGAACTATTTCAGGTGGATTAAGTAAGAGCCGGTAACTACTGGCAGAAGGTGAATGGCGTGAGGGCGAGTGATGCTCGTAAATAACCCGAGGCCTCCTGGCGCCAGTGCCTCAGGGCGCTGTCAGGACACGCGAATTCCTTGGCCTTTGGCACAAACCACGCTCCTGCCCTCGCGAGTGTTGTCCACAAAAATCGGATTCGTTACCTTGTATGCAGCAAGCCAACAATTGCACACTCGAGAGAGACACTGATTGTTTATTTCAGAGTTGTGCAAGGCTGGGTGCCTGGTGGAATTTCACAAATCAAACACACCAACTATCAAAACTTTTTTACTATTTATACATTTTAGCAAACAAAGGAATTAGTGTTCCGTTGCCGCAAGTTACATAGTAGTCTTATTACTTCGTATCCTGTCTTCTATTGGTTAGTGATTCCATCGCTTCTCATGCTAATTAGTCCACATGCTCAGTCTCTTGCTTTTGGATCGGTGGGTTACTTGGGTCTGTGGCTGTGGGTCTGTGGTCGTGCTCTCCTGTTGCCAGAATTACCTTTTACCCGGTCGGAGTGGATTCCGCACGGTTGCTGAGTTGGCTTTGTTAGTTTCTTCCTTATCTTTGGAGTTCTGCCAAATGTCTTTGTGGACCCTAAATTCTGCATTTTTTGTATCCACTATCAGTGATACATCCTTCTTCCCAAGCTTTGTTAACCTCCCCCTAGGTCTGAGATCCCTGAAGCATGCGAACCCTAAACCTTAAAAACGCAATTCTACTGCAAGTAATTTGTTTTTCTAACACCTGGACATCACTTAGAGCTTGTTAGCTGCTCTCTGTTTTGTGGATTAAATCTCCTTTCTTGATGTTTAGGCTTCAAAATATACAAAGATCAAACATCAGAGAACATCCTTTGTAAGGAAAATTTTATGTATACCACATTGTACATCATGAGCGAAACACTAAATGCATATTTTTGTTTATTTTTCTGCATTTCTGTATATCCGTCAACCAAAACCACCTGTGAAACTGAGGTTAAAAATAAAGCCCAGAACTTTTAGTGAATATTTTTGTCACCTTTACAGAAGATATTTGTAATTGCAGAATAAATAAAAAAATAATAAAATAAATCAGTAGTAAGTTTCATTGTACAGTGCCAAAATGTCAAATGAAGACTAGGTCTAAACTTTGCACTAAATATTGCAGCAGAAACTGTAAGATAAATCTTACACCAGAAATATATTTTGTCATTTTTGTTGTCTTTCAGTGTTAGATTTTGTTTATTCCCTTGTTTTGTGTCCAGAAAAAGTAGAATAAGAAATACAGAATTTGTTTTCTGTACACATGCTACAAACTAAATGTTAAAATATTACAGGTTAGGAGCAACATGGAAAAAAATGTGAATGTATTAAAGGTTATAATTCTGAGGCTATAAGGATTCATTTGATTCAATTGCTGAGTTTTTTTTCCTATCAAAATTACTAGCTTGGATGTTGCTGTTATTGCAGAGTTTTGTCGGTTGTTTTGCATGGATACTAACTCATCGTTAAATCCGAACTGTCACTAACTTCTTTTTTTTGTTTGGTTTGTTTGTTCTTTTTTACTACTCCATAGCATTTTAGTAGCTCTTCACAGTTTTAATCAATATTTACATGAGGGACGTGGTCTTTGTAATTTAACCAACTCAATCTCCTGAGTAGTTTGGCTGACCTTTCTAAAGTATTGAAGTATTTAGAGCTGGTTAAATTGCTGGAAACTTTAAATGAACTCACTTTCCTTAACAAAGCAGACACTCTGTGTTTCCCTCCAACAGCAAATGATTCAAATAATGTTTCCATTTTGATACTCTTGTTATGTATGTTGCAATCATTGAAATTTG